GGAGCCCCATTTCTCGGGAGAAGCCCACGCTCCCCGGGGGTGTAACTTCCCTGCAACCAAACTGGCTTTATCATCACCTCCTTCAACTGGAGACAGTAAATAAAAGTCAGGTGGTTACTTTTCAGGTAAAATGAAATGTTTTCCCATTAAGGTTACAGGAAGAAAGATGGGGGGCGGGGGAGAAAGCATTACTGGAAATTAGCTCTTCAATTACTGGATAAGTGGCCATCACCGACTTTATAAGCACTCGTGACATTTTTGTTAAAGAGAAGATTTGGAAATGTACAGTGTGAATGACAATGGAAACAGCTCAGAGAACCCTTCAATCAATAGAACCGTTCCACATTCGTTATCTCCTCTGCACTTGACACAAGTCTGTGAAGGAGACTGTTATTATTATACCCATGTTCCAGGTGCAGAAACTGAGGCACAGCAGGGTGGAGCACCTTTGTGTCTCGGCTGACCCAGAATTATAAGCCCGTCCTTCTAACCAGCGCTCTCTCCATTTTGCCACCATTATTCTACAGCACATCCCGTTGGGGTTACAAAACCCTATGTACCGCTATTTATTGTTCGTTTTAAATAGGTTTTTTTTTAGGTTCTAATAGCAATTTACAATCTTTGTAGACAGCTTGAGCAATGTATAAAAGAATCGAAACCATTTGTAATCCCACAACTCGGGGATGAACACTATTAACGTTTTGATTTATCTGTGAAGTTCGGATCACATTACATGCAGTTAAAATCCTTCTTCTGACACTTTACAAGTATCTTCCCATGGCACTAAATATGCTTTCATGAGCATAGTTTCTCATGGACATGTCATTGTCTGTATTATGCCCGAACCACCACTTAATTAGCCACTCCCCCTCAGCTGGATATTGAGTGTCTACACGGCCTATCTTGGACTAAATAGTCCGGTTGGTCAGTCCCCTAAGTGATGTGCTCCCTCCAGAAACAACACGTTACAACCAAAAGCAGCCTTGGAGGTCATTCTGTCCAATGATGTCATCTATTTTCTTTTATTGTGGTCTAATGTACACAATGTAAGTTCACCATTTTAACCACTTTAAAGTGTATATATAATTCAGCGGCATTGAGTATATTCACAATGTTTTGAAACCCTCTATCTAGTTCTAGAACATTTTCACAATGACGTCATTTCAGGGAAGAACCCTTAATCCCAAGCAGATAGGGACATTAGCACCAAGGGGTTGTTTAATCAGCAGAATGTCCAGGGTGGTGGCCTGAGCTTGGGTTGCCCTGGTGAGGGGGACCCGCCACCTCCAGGGGACCTCTCAGGCTGGGAAGCTCTTCCCGGTGGCATGTCAGAGGCTGTCCCCCTCCAGCGTCCACAGCCTGCAGCCCATTCTGCCCCCAGAGCATAGAGAATGAGACTGATTTCTCTTCTGTGTGACAGCCTTTCACATTTCTTTCAAGGGTTGCTGCACTTACTGGATGACTACCATTTCCCCTTCCTTCCTGCATCCCAATTAATAACCTCAAGATGAAAAGGGCTTTCAATGCCACAGATGTCATTTTCATGGACTCAAAATCACAAATTCAGGGGGAAGTGGTTTTACTCAACTGGTAGAAGGCAGTAAAGATATAGCTGATATATAAGAGGAAATAAAACAATGAGAAATGGTATCTTTGCTCTAGATAATTCCAATTATCGCATTGAGATCCAAGTTATCACAAATGCTGTAAAATCCTGTTTTCTACTTAATAGCATTTTAATGGAAATGTCGGGCTTATGAAATAAAAGTGACTGGTAAAGAAAATATAAATCAAGCTTACTAGTCCTTTGGGGTAATTTTTTAAATTGAATTTGGTGTATCCTTGATTCATTAAAATAGGGGAAAGAATCCTGGAATGTTTTAGCTATATCATTTTTCAAATAAAATGGAATTCCTTTTTATTAAAATGCTTGTGAAAAACCACCTATCTCTATTTCGCCTGGAAAGCCTATTGTTAAAAATCACCACTATTTATCAGGGAGCTACTACATGTATGCCAAGCATTGTACCAAGCAATTTACGCATATTATTTCATTTGTTCCTCATAACAATTCTACGAGGTAGGTAGAAACTAGCCCCATTTTACAGACTAGGAAGCTAAGACCCAGAGAACCTGAATACGTGCCCAATGTCACAAATCAACAGTGGAATCAGAATTCA